AATACCGCGAATATTCAATATTTATTGACGGATAGTATAATTATTATTATTTTAAAAGCGTCTATAAAAGCGATGTCGAAACGTTCGAGTATCAATATTAAAATATAACACCACGAGACGGTTTTTGATATATACTCGGATTTTTATTTTTATTTTTTTTTTTATTATTATTATTATTATTACGTTTCATACAACTGCGCGCTGGCGTGTCTTAAAATTCCGAAGAAAAAAAAATTTAATACACGTCTTACGGAAGATCGATCACCCCGGTACGTATAGTCGGTATACTCGCGTATGGCCCATAGGTATATCGGTGATTCTTCAAACATTTTCTAGAGAAAGTGTCGCCCTTTCGGACAGGAAAACGATGGTCACACTATATATAATATAGGCGCTTATTATATAGTTTAAGGAATTGATATGGTCGGTATTCGAATTTTTTTTTTTATTCGCTACCGTCACTGCGCACGATACAAAGCTGTTGGGTCGACCACCGCCGCCTGCCGTCCCGAATGACAAACGATACGAAAATCGCGTGCTTTCGTCCTATAGGTACACTTTATATGTATATATATGTACGCACCGAATGCGGTTCTTAATCATACGGTACGAAAATATATTCATAACGTATTTTTATGTTACATGGGGTTAGGGTTTTTTCTTTTTTTTTTGTTCAATAACAAACTTTTCAGATAAAAATTATTTCACCCATTTTTTTTTTTTTTTCAATCTTATGGGAAATAATATTCAAAACGATTCGTACTATGTAAGTACTATAGTATACGTCTCGTATAAAACTCTTATATTACCGCTTGTATGAAAGCAAATTAAATAAACAGTTGATAATAATGATTTATACGTTTTAATCAATAGTCGTGCCTCCCGAAATTCAACTGAACGAAAGATCTGTTGAAAAGTTGTTGCATACTGAAATATCTAGATTACGTTGAATCGTCGAACACGATAATATTTTGATTGCAACTTTATTCTCCTCTGTTATCAAAAATGACAGTGAACCTTTTCACGTACATATGAAATTCTTATCAGAACAATCGATCAAATTTAATGTTGGATACGATGGACGTTTCATTGAGAAAACGTTAAGTTTTGGAACAAGATCCGACGTAAAGATATTATCAAACTAATAAGTTTTGGAATGAGTATTATTGTTTTGATTGAACAGCGCTGAATTAAATAACTACGCACGGTCATCAAGGCCGTGGTTATAATCTTGATTTATTTTACATAATACAAATGTCAGGGGGAATTCGGATGATTAAAGGGGGTAATCCTAGCACTCCTTACCTCTGCAGATTAGTTTCACCCAACAAACTCGGTAATAACTGTGCAAAGCGATGCTCATCGGCGTTATAAGTAACGTAAGACGTTAAGTATAAAAAATAGTGTAAACAATATTTCTTAACGATTGAAAAAAATAACAGTGTTCGATTTTATTAAAAATCGTTTTATTTAATCTCTAGATCGTGGTAAAATAAATAAATCACCTTGTATATACACTATAGTGACTATGGTGTGCGTACGTGGTTGTGTTTTTCAATAGTTACCTAATATATTGTAAACGTGAATTGACAATAAACCTCGTGATAAAGCCTTTGTGTTTTCTTACCAACAAAGACGACGACATCTTCAAAGACCTTCGGACGGCCGAGTGTAAGCGGTAACTCATTGACGGGCACGGGAGCGACCGGCGAATTTCGTAAACTTTCTTTCTCCGCCACACTGAGAGTTAGCCGCACCTGATCCCCGGGAGATTGACGTCATCGCCAATGTTGGGTGAACACGGACGGGAGGGTGAGACTGTCCCGCGTCCTTTCGTCGACCGTCGTCGTGTCCGAACCGACAAAAAAAATAATACCTTTCCCTCGGTCGCGAAAAGAACTACGAAAACGTGACCCCGAGGAATAGCGAAAAACGTCTCGCGGCGAGGTGAATTTGTGTTTATTATTTTATTTTTTTTCGTTATTTCATCCGTTGGAAAAGGTGCGTCTTTATAGGTAAATTTTTATTGTCGCTCCTTCGCTGTTTCACGCGCTTATTTGGCACACAATATCTGCAACAATTACTGGGTCTCATTCTCCGGTATAGGAATTACAGTGCGGAAGAAAAAAAGTTTCCCGAGTGGTCTCTTACAATATACGGTATTATAGTTCCATTTCTAGCGAACTTATATAAATACTTACGATTCGGGACTTTCTTTTTTTTTTTTTTTTTATCGTACGAATAACGAACCGAAACGACGCGTGAATTCAATTTTCTTTTTTCCTAACAATCGGTTTTATGTCGGTCGAAATCGTGTAACAAATTGCGTATTTACGTTGTCGTTGCTTCTTGGCCGTTCAATTAGAAAACAATTATCGAAAAAGCCATACAATTATNACGCGTGAATTCAATTTTCTTTTTTCCTAACAATCGGTTTTATGTCGGTCGAAATCGTGTAACAATTTGCGTATTTACGTTGTCGTTGCTTCTTGGCCGTATAATTAGAAAACAATTATCGAAAAAGCCATACAATTATTCTCGCTGTAGGTAGGCGAGAAGCTTAGATAGTATGCCTATTATTCAAGGTTCTAGGATAATTATTGTTTACAGTATGTACGTAATTTGAAAGGTAACGATACATAATTGCAAAAAAAAAAAAAAATGACCAGAGCGTAACGATTCTGAAATTGTTCTTATCAACTATGTATACTATAGGCATTACAACCGCCGGTTGGGAAGTCCGCGCCTTTCAATGTTCGAAGCATTTATACTGCAGGGAAAAAAACGTATAATCTTTGTACAATACTCATAATAGGTGGGATACGGAGTCGCCACCGATTACGGCCGTCTTGAGAAGAAGACGTCTGCTATATTAATGTTTGATTTGCATAATATGGCCCGTGTGTACAACTATCTGCGGTTATATCGAAGAAAATTCAAAACTATAAACCGCAAATATACGTTGTGTAACGAATTCGCCAATACTCGGTTTTAATATCGAACGGGGAACATAATGATATTATTGTTTTGGTGGAATGAAAATGTATACGGGGAAAACAACCGCGAACTCGTTTGATTTATACTTACGCGAAAACGCGCGTTTGCTATACGCGAACGAATCCGCTACAAACCGAAACCGTTGTTCCGCCAATGGCAATTAATAATAATCCGCCCGGATGTATTTTCGCTTTGATATAAAATGATTTTGACAAGTGTAAGAGCGTACCTATAACGCCGCGGCAGTGTTTACAGGATCGCGATTGTTATTATAATATTATTATATCAACGATGAAACGTAACGTTTGAAATATCGTCTGCGTCCGCGGGGTTCGTTTGCAACTAAACAACGGTAAACGATTAATAACGCAATAATATTATATTATTGAAAATCCTTCCGAGACGCTCCCGGCCGTTCTCATACGGTTCGATATCGCGCGTGTCCCCCACACGTCGCATATGTAAGAGAAACGCTTTGATAGCCGCGGTTTCCGGGTTCAAACCCGGAAATGTTTAGCATGCGGGTCGCGGACTCAAAGTAAATTCGTTTTTCTTTTCGACGATATAATTGTATAAGACACGGCTTTCATACGTTACCCCGACCCAACCGGCTCCTTCTTCGGTATACCCAATACCGCCCTCGCCGTGTAATTTGTTTGTTTGTTTTTTTTTTTGTAGATATTTGTTTGAACTATCTATGCGGCCGTTAAAACCGCAATACCGCACGTTATCGGTCTACGTTAATCGTATTTCCATTTATGGCAATATCTGTACGCGTTCATTGGCTAATCGAACGGCGTTCTGTGTCATAAACCTGACGCGAAACTTGCGGTTATTAAATTTTAAGTATACGTTTTTTTTTTTTTTTTAATAAATGGTTGGTCGAAAACCGACCGTTTGGCCGTTATATATGCTATATAGGGTACTTAAATAATTCATCGAGCGAAAGCTAAAAAGGTGAATATAATTTGAAATATTTAGAATATTTGAAGTTGGACATTTTGCTTTTGCGACGATTATTTGGACGTATTCCATTTAGACGGAAAATTAAATATTTAACGCCGAACACAAACGAGTCGTTATACAAATATTAACGTTTATTCTTTAAACTCGAGACATAATAGTATGATCGGAAAAAATCAATATTAAATAATGTTTATAAAAAAAAAAACTGTGATATACTATTATATCAACTATACCTATTATTAAGCAATTTGCAGCCATTTCTATCGAGGCTCAACAAAAAGAGTATCTTGTGGTTTTTCGATCAAATCATTTTTTCTGGTTGTGTTTTCATAAAATAATGAAATCGTGAAATTGTACTTTTTCCTACGTTTTTTCTTAGCTAATTGCTTTTATTTAAAAAATGACGTCGAAAATCAAAAAATTACCTCTTTAAAGTACAATCTAGACAACTAGAGATTTCAAAAAGGCGCTCAACTCATGGGAACATATGTAGATTTAATATTATTAGTAAAGTACGGTTAATTTGATTTTATTTTTTATTGTTCCAAAACAAAGTTATATCAGCTATAAATTCGATGTATACTACTTAGAAGTAAACGCACGAAATCTTATTTTGCTTTTTTTTTGTACTTTAATACTTTTTCGGATTTTTAGATACTTTTTTTTTTTTTGCTGTAAAATTTTTCCCAAACATATTTAAAATGTTAAGATTTATTTCTATATTATCAAAATATAAACATAATATATCGTCGAAGAAGATTTTTGTTTGAATGCTTAAAAAAAATGTTAATCGTTCAATGCAATTCCGATGATATAGGTAGGTACTTAAATCATTTTGTAACTATTGTTTTATTTAATTTACAGACTAAGTGTGGAAAAACAGTCAGGCTTACATATATTCTACAATAATTTAATAAACTAATGATTTAAAATGTAATGTTTTTTTTTTTTTAGTTTTTTATCGCGTGAAAATCAGTAGGTACTCTAAATTATTAGTATTACAAGCATCGTTATAATAGTGCAGCGACACACAGTCAAATGTTTCGGTTAAACCGTAGTAAAACTTCAACACGCTATGCATAACATGATTATTGACGTATTGTATATAAGATACAATATCAGCTATTGTATATCCTATACAAACCGCGTAATACGTTGATAATATGAACAAAACATGTGTACTTACCCGCGCCCCAGCGGTGATCGGTGGAGCCCGACAAGGCCGACCGAGGTCGGGGAAAACCATAGGCAATGAAGGACGGATACGCTATTCGCATAAAATAGTAATAACGTACGCGCCGCCAGCATTCCGGAATGGGCAAGAAGTATCGGACTTTTCTCTCCCTCTGGCCAAGCGGTTATTTCGAGGTTATGTAATAATTATTTTATTTCATTTGTTAATTATTTTTTCGAACTAAGCGTTAGTTGTAAAACAATTTTTTTTTTTTTTTTTTATCACTCAGTAATAAAACGCTAACTAAAATTACACAACTGTAAACCGTCTTAATCGTTTTGAAATGAATTTATCACGAACTAGAGCACGATGTTCGTTCGAACTAACTTCAGCTAGAGAGAGACGACAGAATTATGAAATAGTCTTTGCGCGTATCGCGGCTTATATATGACTGAGAGAACAGGTTTTCCATCGAACCCGACCCACTGGTTTATGATATTATTACTATACGCGGCAAGCAGTAGGCGATTACAACGCTTCATAGCGACCGTCGTCAAGAAACACGACTGGTTTTTATAGTACAATTTTAAAAAGTGAGCAGTCTTCGAGCTTTTTACAGACATGATAATTTTGCGAGTTTTTCACGTAATTTGTATTCGATAGGTACTTTATGTGGATAAAATTGTTTTTGACCAAACAAAAACGCTTGCAAATTTAATAGAAGATTTATTATTAGTTATTGGTCAAAAAAAAGTTGAGTGCAATATAGTATTTTTTGTTTTTATTTTTTATGTGAGGGTTTTAACCCTTTCACACCTAGAATTAATTTGTATAATTTAGATTTTTTTCGTTTATCAGTATTTAATAATGGATTGATTCTTAAAACAAAATAATTTTTTTTTTTTATTAAATTTTTTACTTAAGTTATTATTATATCCCCAGTAGAGGACATCAGGCATTTACAGAATCGAAATAATATAATAATAAAAAAAAAAAACTAAGTAGAATAAACTTATGAATTCCATGGTATAACCTAGTAATAAATTATAAATATAATATCAAAATTTAAAAACAGAATATTATGAAAATATAAAAAAACCTGTGAATTTCATAATTTATCTCTTGTAAAATATATTATATCATCCATGAAAATTAAAAAACAATATAAAATACAGGTACCATCTAAACTTGAACATTTTATTTAGGTACCTATTATATACAACTGGATATTATAGGTACAATGGTAAAAAAAAAACAGGAATGAAACTATTTTTGAACTATTTTGAAATTATTATTTATAAAAGTAAAACTCATAAATTAAACTACGTGTATTAAAATTAAAATATTAATGAATTAATGTTATTATTAATAATTATATTAATAATTTCAAAATTACGTAGGTAATACACTAATAAATGTAATCAGTAGGGCTCGAAAGTTATAGAAGTTGTATATTTTTCTGTACGCATTGAATTTAAAGCAGACCAAGCTAGAAATACTTTCTATACGGTGGAGAGTTTAAAAATTGAACATTTAATATTTATATTTTGCATCTTTAGTTAATTTTATAGAAAAAGTTACATTTCGTCAATTTTCATTGATTTTTGCATATTTAATATTTTCTCATAAAAATTGATTTTTTATTCTTAACCTAACTTATTTATTTTAAATATTGTTAAATTTAAAACTCAATGTTATTTAAAGTAATTATTTATTGTCATTTCTTACCATTTTAGTATATTATTAATTTAACGATAACGGTGCAATTCGCATTTAATCTTTATATTTTTTATACATGTTAATTATAACATTATATGTTTTTGAATAATAAACTGAATAATTTTTTGTATATTTAACATTTTTTTATGCAAATTTTAGAATTTTTTTCGTGTATATTTATTTCCATACATATTTTGCCTTTTTTAGTTCTTATAACTTCCGAGCCCTAGTTATCAGTTAACAAGTAATATTGATAAAAATCAGTAGTTGATAACCATAACCTTAATGTTTTCATTAAAAATCCAAATTGTTATACGATTCGATTTTTGTTAATACGTATTACCATAAAAAAAACCCGATACGTAACGATATTGCCTTCTTGAAAATCTTGATGATTGTCTTCGACAATCAAAAATATCATATCAAAATTTATCAAAAGTGTTTTATGGTAATACTTCAACGTGATAAGAGTTACGTCGTTAATTTTATGATTTTTGTGAACTACATATTCTATGGAAAATATTTCATGTACTTCAGTACTTTTGAAAAGATAAAACAATTTTAAATAGTGATAATTAACACTCTAAAGAATGTCTTTCTAACGGGACGTCAGTTCTGAAACGGTTAATATCGAATATTGACGAAAATCGTAAATATTACGGCATTTTAAAAAGCGTTTAACCGAATTCGGCTCCGAATCGTCAATCGTTGTTTATAGGCATAAATTATAATATAACTTTAGGTATTCGTAAAACAATTTGTATACGAGTATTCGTCCATCTCTTTTTTTTTTTGCATTTTGCATTTTGCATTTTGAAACGCGAACTCTAGTGATCCCTGCACGAAGAAGAACCGTTGAATTATTTATGTATTATTATATTACATACGATCGATTTGCAACAGATAGTCGAACACGGTTTACATAATATTAGATGCGTAATAATAATAAATATTATAATTGTCGTGTTTTGCGATGCAGACCGTAATATTATTATTTTATTACATAGGGGGTAGGTAGTTTCGCAGTGAACGTTCTACCAGCGTTAATCTCGAGTGGGTCTTTTCGGTGAAATATATTATGAAACGAAACTATAAGATTTTATTGAATACCCGAATGCGAAAAACGAACAAAAATGGTAATGTATGCCATTAATACAATAATTCCTTCAAACTCCAAATAGTGTCCGTATTCTATAATCATTATTCTCGTTTAATGTAATAAGTAAAACGATAAGGAGTTCCGCAGTCAAAATAAAGCCTATGCGATTCCGTGTAGGTACCTAATGTATAATACATTTAGTCCCGAGAAAGTCGTGTCGTTTTTTCGACGCGATGTTTGCACTTAATTTCCTTTTCGTCTCGGGAATACGTTTCGAAAACCCGAAGCAGTCGGGAAAAAAAATAATAATTTACGGCGAGCATAATATTTTCATAAAAAAATATACGTTACACCCTCGTTATTTGCCGCGTTATTTGTAAGCTCGTACCTGTTACAATATACCGGCGAGTGAAACGAAACGAATCAATTATTGAAATTCGCGCACAAAACCCCCGGAGAAAATCGCCGGATTATGTTCAAGTACCTGCGACAAACGAGACCCCGCCCAGCCGAGACGTAAACAGTGTTATTAATTATTGTTGAATACGGGTGTGAAAAACGTTACGGAAACGATATTATTGCCGCGTCGTCGTGATACGCGATATCCACGCGGGAGACCGTGAATCGTAGTGTCGGTTCCGGCGAGCGCGGGCGGCGGCGGGTGTCGGGCGGTCGCGCGTGGCGAAGGGGTGAGCGGCGGCGGGGCGAGAGAGCGGAACACGGCCGACCGCGTCGGTCGGGCGCATTGTTTTCGTACCCGCCCGAAACGCGAGACGGCCACCGTAACAAATACCAAGGCCCGATGATAATCGTGCAGGCCGCGCGAGGAAAACGAATAATTTCCGCGGAAAACGCACCGCGCGTCCCCGCCCCCCCCTCCCCCGCGGCCGTGTCGCAATAACCGTACGCGTATAAGCACGTGATTTCGTTATCGCCGTCGGGCCTACGGATTGCACCACGCCGTCGTTGTCGTTGTCGTCGTCGTCGTCGCGGTATTGCACCCTCGTTGCGCGCAAGGGTATAAAAACGTACCCGTGCGCGCGCGTTTTTTTTTTTTTTTTCGCTCTATAGTACGCGGGTGCCTACCCTGCACAAATCCGTCGAGGGCGACCGCGGTGACTATAGTTCCCCGCGAAAAAAACCGCAATCGGTTGAAAAACGACGAGACTCGTCTGGTGTCGTTCGGTCCCACTGGTTCACGATTAAATTGGTTACACTGGTTACCGAATGTTGAGACCGACGAACGAATGAACGGACGCGACGATCGGCTACTGGTTTCATCGTCCCCACCAGAATTATTATCTCTCCCCGTTAACCCGCCGGCGCGGCGTATACGACGTTATCGTTATTATCGTACCTGCCTATTCTATTCCGCGTTGTTGTTGTTTCTGTCGTCGTGTCGTACAAAATGTTATTCTTATTATTTTGCGACAATTTGAGGGCGTAAGTCATCCATTAATGACGAGAGTCAAACGGATATATTCACCGTCTCACCGGTTACTATTAATTGTGACCCTACCTACCAAAATGGTTCTAACAATTCGATGATGCGTCTGCGTTTACTTCAGCGAAATTTACGGAGGGATGAGGTACCCGCTTTGCAGTAGAATAGTCAATAATCGGTTTAAAGTTTATCGTTTTTGTTGCAATACGAATACCGGATTCGTTGGGCGTTAGCTACAGGATGTGGATCCTATCTGTGATCACTTATAAAGATGATATTTTCGCCTATTGTAAATGTCTATCGCGATTAAAGATATTTTAATGGTTGTCCAACGAGTTATGTAATTGTTGTCTACATAATATTATTTCCACGATAAAACAATTCTGTAACGCTCATAGACCGCCGCATAATATTTATCTAAGTACTATATTATATTATATCGTTATCGCAATTCATTAAATGTGTTTATATTATTATGAATTATTATTTTATTTTCACGGACAGAGAGCGCTAGTTGAGCAGCTATTTCTGCGAGCGATTTCAGTTGCTACGTGTTATCGCTTATGACCATGAGCCGTTGGGCAACAAGTTTAATCTTAAAATCGTGCCATTGTGGTATATACCTCCTAATATGTTTTTAATTTTTTTTATTAATAGGGACTTTGTTATGGAAAATTAAAGAAAAAAAACCAGTAAGGTTTTATCCTATGTAAACATTTACATCGAATCGTTCCTAGTGATAATGTATTTGACATCTCAAATATTAGTAATGATTCCAATGTGGATTCATCAAATGGTAACAGTACTGTTGTACCTACCTAATTCAAATCAATCAAAATCAAACCAAACGGTAATGTTATACCATCATGTAGTGAAGAAATTTTTGATTTTGTTATCAATGAACACCTAGACAATTGAAATATTTCTGTTTCCAGTGACGAATGTTATATTCTAATATAATGTGATACTAGTTCGAGCCATTGTTAATACCAGGCTAGCAAAATTGATGTCCAATGGTTTAGCAAAATAAGATTTAGATTTATTGGAAAACAGAAAAAAACATCATTCAAAGAAACATTCGCTACAGTTTTAAAGACTATTATAAGTAAATATCTATGTATGTTTTTTACTAATACCAAATTATAGGATGTCACTTAGTACGTTTATATGACCGCGTTAAAACGGTTTGAAATAAAACCTTTTTAATAAATTTTAAAACAATTTAACTTAATATCTATTACACCCATTTATATATCCATAATATTAAATCGGTTTAGTGAACATTTTGTAAACCGATTTAAATTTAATTGTTTCTTACATGAATGGAATTTTCTTCTAAGAGATATAATAGCATTTATCTAAGAAATTTTAGTATATTTTGTAATTAATCTTAAATCATATTTATTAACTTACTTTATTTTTTGGATAATATAATTTAATTCGTAGCTTATATTATAATTATATTTTCGTTTATTACAAAATATTTTATTTATTTTTCCTTATTACAAAATAGAAACTAAAATTATGCGTATAATGTCATGAGTCCGTAATAATAATATTGTTCTGCTAAATTCAGGAATAAGTACAAAATTACCAAATAATGTAATTTAATTATTAATTGTAATAATTAATACTGTATAATATGTAAATAATAAATAAACATTTAAATATTTAATGCAAAAAAAAACTTGATAAGATTTGATTAGGTTTAAACAAAAAAACGCGTTTACATGTCCATGCGATAAACCGTTTTAAACACTTCAATTTAATTTCTTAAATTACCTAGCGCGAGCGTTTTAATTTTGAAAACAGTTTGATTTTTTTAAACCGGTTTATAGTGTTTACATGATAAGAATAAGTTTTAATTTCAAATCGTTTTAACATCATTATATAAACGTGTACTAACTGATAATGGAGACACACAAAATATTTTATATCTTAAATGCTATATGCTATTTATTATGTCTTTAGATATTGTACGATTTTATAGACCAACATTTACTCACAAAGAAATTTATGATCAAATTGGTAGATAGTTGGTTCAAGCTCATTTGAGAAAAACCCAACAAGAAAAAAGGTAAGTTTATTTTCTATTAAAAATAAACTGTCATATGTTGACCTAATCATTTATGAATTTTTGAATCATTTTCACTTTTCAGGCAAATTGATCTTATCAATCCACTTTGCCAGTTTACATATATTCTAAATACATATTATAATGACAGTACAAAGCTGCAAAATAATAGATATATTTTAATTTTTTTTTATCTTTTAGATATATTTAAAATGACATATCATGATTGACTTACTGACCGATTCATTATCACCTAGCCCAAATTACTGGATAGAACGGGCTGAAATTTGGCATACAGATAGCTATTATAATGTAAGCATCCAATAAGAAAATATTTTTGTAAATTCAACGTCTTAGGTGGTAAATTATGGGACGAATATTTAATTGTTTTTTTTGTTTATTCTTGGGTTACCTGGGTGATATTGATGACAATTGTTGTTACGGACAAGAAAACTTATTATTATTATTATTATTTACACTATTATCTAGTAATAGCAAAAGATTGCCAGATCGAGACTGATAATATTACTCGGAAACTAAGCGTTGAAGAGTAAAATGTTTTATAACCCTGGCTTCTATGACTTCTACCATGCACATCTATTCTTGTAGAATCTTTATAAACTTCGTCTTTTTGATTCAACAATATTTTTTACATTTGGAAATTTTGTAATAAATCCAAAAGAAGCAAAACTTGTTGCCACTTAAAAGCGCGTCTGCAGTTTTTCAATTTAAATTTATTGGCATAAACCATGAAATATTGCATCTCTCTGAAACTGAAAGAAAATGGAAACAAATTTTCTAAAACCTCCAAAACTTGTCAAGTCCTTTTTTTGGATTTATTACAAAATCGCTAAATTTAAAAAACATGTTTTACAAAAATATTGGTGAAATCAAATATGTACAGATCTGATCAGACAAAATATTTTCTCGCTGTCCATATAAATAGAATGGAACTGTTAAAATGTGAATTAACTATATTTAAACAAATATTAGAATATTTTGGAGACTGGTATGGTATAGTGTCTGTTCGTAAGTGGCTGATAAGTGTGAATCGGGCTTAAATATGAACTATTATTTTTGTCGGGATGCTATTTCACCATAAATATATTATAATTTTTTTTTCAGTTAGAACCCATGCAGTTTATTAATATTTGAAGATTGGATTTTGAATTATGATTTATGAACACGAATATTACAGAACAATGTTATCAATATTATACGCAGTCTGAAAAATGTAATATTAATAATTTTTTTTCTAATTTATAACATTTGATGATAATAATTTGTTTTTCAGTGAATTTCATTTCACAGTGCCCGAAATTTATGTTGAGTCCTGTTATGGTTCGTTCGGATCAGGTCATTCAAGAATAGATCATTGAATGATTCGTTCATATTGTCCATTTTGTTCACACAAAACGATTAATGTATTAAACCGAATAACTATATACCTCAAAAGATCTTAAAAGTTATCATATTATAAAGTTTACAATTACTTGTATTGATAATTTTTCAGTATAAAATGTATTTTATGATTAAGTTATAAAGTATGTCTTACAATTGCCCAGTTATTTATTATGATAATAAAGTAAACACTAAAGTACCTACTTCTTAGTTATGATTATGTTTGAATATTAACTATCATTTATTAAAATTATTCTGTATGCGTAGTATATTTTAATATTAAATTTGTTGGTGAACTTGTACATAGAAACTCTCCGTTGTTGCTTAGATTTTCGATTGTTCAGACTTGTTTGTTTCATGATCCAAATTGAATCGATTACAAGTGAGACATGTTCAGGTATTTTAAATTTGTAATATTTGAATACTAAATACTACTATATTTAATTACAATATTGTTTTGGAACAAATGGAGGAAATTAATTGATAATAAACCCTGGTATGTATGTAAAACCATGTTGGGTAATACCTATTTTATTTTGTGTGCACTGTGCGCAGTACTTACCTATGTTAATACTATAGACTTAAGCATCTAAATGAAACATTCACCCTATAGACTGAGTGGGTACAAATGGATTAAGGGAGATTGACGTATGCATATAAAGCCTATTGTGAGAGAGAGTAAATTTTCACTCCGAGGAAAGCCAATTAAAACATTCAGATTAATAACTCACTCGTGTCTGTCATCGAAATGAAACTACACCCACCGAAACGCGTTTTGATGCTCAATGTTCTGTCTAGATGTATTATAAGTCTATAATACCTAATACCTATAAGACCGGTATGGATTTCCGAATAATGTTATCATTTTTCGAACAAGTGTCATTCACCGGTAAATAAGAATAGGTTGATAAGCACAAATTTAAATAATTGTTTACAAAATGCAAGGCTGCAAAGGGCAATTATTTAAATAAGTACTTAGTGAGAAAGAAAAAAATGTTTTTATACTCATATAAAATAATTCTACACACCGTGTGGAATACCATATTGCATAATACAATCGTATACCTACGTCTTCGCATTACTAATTATGTAGGTAGGTATGTATAAATAATATCAATAATAATTATTAGTAGGTACTTAGGCACCTATTCATTAGTCACCTGAGAATGAAAATTTACTGAATCACTGTTTTGCAAATGATCAGAAGCATTAAGAAATTTAAAAATTCATATTTTTATACTGAATGCTATGGTTAAATTAGTTTTAAACAATAGCATTAAGAATGACAGACAACATAGTACTATATAATTCAAAAACATTTCGAAGACAGAACAAACTGATAATTTTGTAATTGCAGATAGGTAATTCAAATAATAAAAGCGTCAAATATAAATAATTTCGTACTCTGACAAAGTTTTTCCCAGGAGAACCTTTTCAAATAAAGCATGTTACAGTGATTGAATCTTTTCAAAATTATCGTTTTTTATAATTCGAAATGGGTAGGAAGGTAAGTCAACAATAATTTGATTGCACAGTAGTATTCGTGATATATAGAACCACTTCGTTCTCAAAATATGTAAATGTCGTTAGATGGAACATTTTCTCTCTCAAATAATAATTCACATGAAAAAAGTTTTATTTTGTTATTAATATAAAAGAAAAATAATTATTTTTTCCTCTATTAAAATCATTTCATTTTTAGTACCTACCTATTCGATGACAATTTAAGATAGAAACTTCGTAGTGAACGCGAAAAACAGGTAGGTAGGTATATATATATATATATTTAAGTACCTATAGTATGCAATAATCAGAAATTGATTATTCGAAAAATCAATAGATTTCCATTTTCAAATAAAATATTACTAAAGGTGGGAACGTAGGTACCCACCTACCCATAAGTTTATAATTTATTTAATTATTTATTGTAAACATATTATAATAAATATTTTTATGAATAATTTAATTAATATTATTGTTAATATTATTTTTTATAAAAGTTATATTACTATAATGAAAAAAAAAATCAGTGTGTACCTACCTATTATTAAAACGCTCTATATTACGTATTGTGAGCTTTGATATTTTTCAAAGTTAACTAGTAGGTATCTAGTCAATATAATTTTATACCATAGGCACAATTCATCGGAAATTAAATAATTTCTAAAAAGTGGGTGTTCGGAGGAAAAAAACGTATTTTCCTATTGGTTTTTATTAAAAAAAAATTCGACTTTTATGTGTCTGCCGAAACTTTTCGATATTTTCGAAAAAAATCCGAATTTTTATGGAAAAACTTTTGTTTTCCGTGACATTTTTACGCCTAAAGGTATCCAAGATTAAACCAGTTAGGTAGGTAATGTAGGTACAGTAAAAACAAAAAAACTACCTAATTAAATAATATCATAGCCAATCAATTGTTTTCGACAAAATATAGAAAAAAAAAAATAAAAATTATAATGACAAAGTTGGAGCGAGAATTAAATATTCTTTTAACCGTACGGCTACAATATCGATTGGGAAACCTAATAGAAACAAATTGAACACTCCAACAGTACCGGTCCAGTGGCGCAATCGGTTAGCGCACGGTACTTATATGACAGTTGTCGTGAGCAATGCCGGGGTTGTGAGTTCGAGCCTCACCTGGACCAACAAAATTTTTTGCAATTTTTTTTGGCTTTATTTTTTTCGTTTTTTTTTCATGGTCACCTGGACCAATAAAATTTTTCGCAATTTTTTTCGGCTTTATTTTTTTGGTTTTTTTTCATGAGTTTTTATTTTAATTATTATGTCGAGTTCAATGTTTTTTTTGTGTAGTCACGCTATNGGATTTCAATTCACAGATGATAAATGTGTTATTAATTTTTTTTTTTTTTTTAACGAAATTGATATAGGTAATAATTGTCTCCTAAAAATTCCGTAAAAAATTCAATATAATATACTATAACGTTCCCGTGTACACCGCGATATTACATAGCGTTTGTAAAATAATAGCACGTCATGTCAAGTAGGTATCGTAAGAACGTTATAATTTGTTCGTAATTGACCGTCGTAGAACATAAAACGATATAATTAAACGGTATCGTAGGACGTAAATTATGTAATTGATAAATTGGAGTTACATTGTGGGATGCTCTGCTGATTTAGTAACACCGGTTTATGGACGGTTTTACGCAAGGTGTAATTTACGTGCACCGATTTTAAACTGTTAATTTTTATCTTCCAACGTTTCGTCCAGTTGGAAACGTTGTTGATAGACCTTTGAAGCCAATCAGTCGCAGTGTGCTGGTCTTCATTTTTTGTCATTATTGCCGTGTCATCAGCAAACATGGCTGTCATTGAATAGTTGTTGGTTGGTCCGCTATGTAGAGTAAGTACAGAATTGGTCCAAAGACGTTTTTCTGTTGTACACCTGCCGATATGTTTTTCCAATCATTTAATGCTTCTTCATGAATGACCCTGAATTGACATTCAGTCAGGTAGGATTCGAAAAGTGCGCACTAGGTGTGTGGCAGCTGTTCACGTTGTTTTATAAGTAATCCTTTGTGACAAATTTTATCGAAAGCTTATGTCACGTCAAGGAATACTCCGCAGTAATAATTTTTCTCTTCAAGCGTTTTGCTTATTACGTTGGTGACACGATGGACCTGGTCGATTGTTGAGTGTTTATTTCGAAATCCAAACTGATGTTTCGGTATAAGCTGTCTTTCTTCTATTAACGGTTTTAAGCCTTTTAGAAGTAGTTTTTCGAATAATTTTGAGATGCTTGGAAGAAGCGAAATTGGTCTATATAAAGTTATTTGTTCTGGTGGTTTTCCTGGTTTAAGTACCATGATCATTTGGGCTCGTTTACATTGTTTAGAAACGTATTCCATACGTAGGATGGCATTGAATATGTGTATTAGATGAATCATAGCGTGTTTAGATATCTCTTTCAGGATTTTTGGGTTAATTTGGTCGTACCCAGGCGCCTATTTTGGGTTGATATTCATATCAATTTCTTTTGTGATTCCAACTGGAGTAAAGTGCTTTATCTTATCGCGTATTTCATTTAGTGGTTGACACTGAGCTATTTTGAGTTTGGAAACCACGTCGTTTGGTTGAAATACATGTTCTAAATGACGTGGGTATAAATTTTCTTTATCTTGTTCACAGCATGCCTATGATCCATCTTCCATACGGATAGGTGGTACATAAGCTCTAGGACTCTTCATACGTCTTGTAGCCCTCCATAATGAATAATCAGTGTTATTCGATACAGAAAGTTCACTTAAGTATGATTTGAACGTTTCGTTTTTTAATTTTTTAATTTTGTCATGTAAAAGTTTGCTAATGCGATTCCAGACGGTTTTATCCGAATGATCTCTCGTTCGGTGTCGTTTTTTCCGTGCCTTTCGTTTTTATTTTACTAGTTCCCTAACTTCCTATGAGTAGGTTATCTCACGATTATCACTTTTTGGTGTTATGGGTGTTGCCGCTTTCGCCCCTTATACGATGGTATTAGTTGTTCAACAGCACTATTAATTTCAATAAGTTTTCTTAGTCTTACTGTGAGAGTTAAGGTCTCGTCTAGATTCGTTCTAAAAAGGTCCCAATCTGTTTTCTTGTTGATTAGCAACATTTTTTGTTGTTTATGTATAACATTAGAACTTAACGCGAGAAGCACTGGTATATGATCTGACGTTAATTCTGTAAGTTCTAATACTCCAATATAATTAGAAGATATACCTTTCATAATAAAGAAGTCAAGCAGGTCGGGAATCTTGTTCGGATCAGTCGGCCAATACGTTGGCTTACTTGTAGTGATGATTTCAGCATTGATGTTGTTTGCAACTTTTAGCAAGGCTCGTCCCTTTGGGGAGATCAGTCTCGATCCCCGGTAAGTATGTTTGGCATTATAATCACCTCTAACAATGAATATATAATCTAACGTATGGAAAAATTCAGCGAACTTAATTTCATCTGCACCTCCTTGCGGGGGGCAATTAATTGCAGTAACCGTGAGATCGTTATTCCCGTCATTAACGATGACGCTTGTCGCTTGTGTATGACTTACAGCGTATTTTTCGAGTTCATAAAGCTTTATGGACTCTTTTATTATTACAGCAGTACCACCCCGAGCTCTACCACTAGAATGACTCGTCGTATATATATATATATTGTAATTCCTTATCTTAATAAAGGTCCACGTTGTGAAGTGAATTTCCGAAATAAGGGCTATGTCAATGTTTTCACTATGTAAAAGATTTTCAATTTCTTATCTGCGCTGTACTAACCCATTGGCGTTCCATGCAATTATCCGCAGTGTACTGTACATTTCTTTATTTTCTGCGAGGTATTTTTGGACTTTGTCTGGTTTATTTCCAGTTTGTCCATTCTTGCTGTGATATTTGCTAGTGTCTGCGTTACGTTGCTTAACGCGACTAGAATATCATTAAAAGTAGTCGATTCTTCATTTCCCTTTGGTTGAAGTGTTTTTGGATAGACTTTTGAAGTACTAGCCATCTGTGCGTATGAAATGTTTGTTGTGACAGGTTTCTGCTGTATTCTTTTCATAGCAGAGACTTGTTTTAGGTGTGCTCTTTCTATTGCTTTTTTCTTAGCAGGGCAGCCCTTCCAGTTTGCTGTGTGATTTTCACAACAGTTTGCACATTTTGCTTTTGTCTTTTTAGATTTTGGGCAATATTCAGTTCTGTGTCCTTCACTACACTTCACGCATACAACAAATTTGTGACAATAATTTTGTGTGTGTCCAAGAGATTGGCAGTTCTTTCACTGCGGTACTTCTTTTTTTTACCTGGTGGTTCTATTTTTATTATCTGATGACATAGTAGTTTTATGTTGTAAATGTCTTTATTGTTCTCCAGTGGTTTTAAATCTACAAAGAATAATGGTAGTCTTATGTATGTCCACTCACTGTTTTTGTTTTTAGGACCCGATTTTTTCTCGATCTATATATTGGTTATTTCGCTTACTTCGTGGCCCTGGTCATACAGTTTATTGGCAATTATTCCTATATCTGAATCATGATTTATACCTCGTAATACTACTCGAAATGGTTTTTCACTTTTTATTTGGTACCGATTATATTCAATTTTATTTTCTTCTAATATTTTTATTATATTTCTGAATTAACTTTCGTTTCTTGTTAAGATTCTCGTTTCGTCATTTGATGGGACTTTGAATTGTTGTTCGTTTCCTACCGGTTCTTCACACGTTAATAATTGTTTTAATTTATCAAATTGTGTAACACTTTTGATAGTTATTGGTGGGGGTTTATATATTTTTTGAATATTATTATTAGTCGCGTTTTTGTTACCATTTTGTTTAACTTTTGAAGTTACGTTAACATCTTTTGAAACTGATATGTTAGAAATAGTGGTCGTTTTATCTAAGTTGTTATCTATTTTTGTAATTAATTTTGACGATTTAGCTACCAGTACCAATTCACTATATTTTATTTGTAGTAATTTTTGACTTGCTTGTAGTTCTGCCACTTAGCGGCGGAGTTTTTCGATGGCGTGTTTTAATTCGGTTAAAATATTTTGCATTTCTGCGTAGGTCGGCAGATCTGGCATAAGTCCGTCCATGACTGTGCGCGTCACGCGATGGTGGGAACCACCAGTACGTCATTGCACGAACGTATGGCCTACCTAATATTATTATCTAGACACTTACTGATTTCCGATGAGCGTGGTAAGCGTTTTGATGTTATTAAATTACCGAAAGAAAAAGAAACAACGCGAATGACGGCATTCGAAAGCGAGAACATACGTGTTGCCCGTTCAACAAACGAATCGTGACTCAAATAATTGGAACAAATTCAGCAGTACAACAGTACCGGTCCAGTGGCGCAATCGGTTAGCGCACGGTACTTATATGACAGTTGTCGTGAGCAATGCCGGGGTTGTGAGTTCGAGCCTCACCTGGACCAACAAAATTTTTTGCAATTTTTTTCGGCGTTATTTTTTTCGTTATTTTTCGTGCGTTTTTATTTTTTCTAACGACGCGTTTTTATTTTAATTATCATGATATTTGTCGAGTTTTTTTTTTTACCTCGCAAAACAATATTTTTTTGTGTAGTCACGCTGTTTAACTATATATTATGATTCTATACGACGTATTATAATAACATTATTATATTATAATATAAGCACGTACGAAAATTCCATCGGATTTCAATTGACGGGTGATAAATGTGTTATTAATTCTTTTTTTTTTTTTTAACGAAATCGATATAGGTAATAATTTTCTCCTAAAAATTCCGTAAAAAATTCAATATAATATACTATAACGTTCCCGTGTACACCGCGATATTACATAGCGTTTGTAAAATAATAGCACGTCATGTCAAGTAGGTATCGTAAGAACGTTATAATTTGTTCGTAATTGACCGACGTAGAATATAAAACGATGTAATTAAACGGTATCGTAGGACGTAAATTATGTAATTGATAAATTGGAAACACGTTCGATTATTAATGGAAAAAAAAAAAATGAAATAAAAAAATTACCATAGTGTAATTATTGTTTTTAAAGTGGATCGTACAGTACATAATATACCTGCGTCGTCGTCTATATATATACCTATAGTATACGTATTTATTTATAATTGAGTGGAGAAAATAACGCGAAAGGTGTCGAAAACAAAAGCTATCAGTTTATTATTCTCGTGTTCACGGTTTTCTCGTACGTTCGTAAACTGTGTGTATTATTATTATTATTACTATTCTAATGGCATACCTAGTCGAGTATCTCGAATGCGTATTTATATACGTACATAATATACATATATATATATATATATATAACATTTTAAAATTATCGCCGTCGAATATAATTATGAGAAAACGGCGGAATATAAATGCAATCGATTCTGTTCGGAAAAAAAAAAAAAAAAAAAAAAAACGATAAAATAATTGCATTCGAGTTTTAACGATAATTTTACATTTATATTCCGAGTCCCCGTGGGTTGTTTGCGATATTACAGTCTGCGGCTATTCTATAAGTATATTATAGGTAGGTAATAGAAGTAAGTACCGGCCACAGACCACGCGCACCTATATATCGAATTGATAGTATTATAATGAAGTTTTTACGGAAAACCGACAAATGGAAAACTGTAATCATGACCGTAATCCAGAGGCGTCATTTGCGGGATGCAATAGGGTGCGCATCCCAGTAGCGTATTTAGGATTTTGCCGAGGAGGGATACAATGCGAACTTTTAAATATTTTTTCACACAGTTTGTATATAATATAATGTGTATCCAGACTAGTTAAAACAAAAAAAACAAAAAAAAAAAAACCCCATTATAAATGTATACATTTTTTTATAAATATTTTATAATTCAGTCTAGCCTAACGTTAACATTCACACACTATAGTAATTATTATTGTTAGTTAAGTTACATTTGTTTTGAGAATAATGAAAAAAAAAAAGAACCTTCTTTGTATTAAAGTGCTTTGCATAGGTTTCGGTTTCAATAAGGATAATTTACCTACAGTTAAGGTTTTATTATTATTATTTTGATTTATTAACTTGGTACCTATACCAACACGTTTTTGAAAATAAAATTTGATTTTTCTAAATAAAAAGTTAAGAAATTCTAATTTGCAAAATAGGTATTCGTATAAGCAATAGCTAATAAAATAAGGCCGAGGGGGGGGAGGAGATATAACTCCACGTTCTGGTCTACAAAATATCGAAATGACGTCCCACACTATTGAACCGTATTAACAATAACAACACCCGTTTTTCATTTTTCTCGAAACGATTTTTAACATTAAATTTTCAAATTTGTCGACATAATACAGGAGGAACACTGCACCGCAATGCACAGCGTCTTGTACAATCCATATAAAATTATTATAATTTATCGTGCGCGCGCGTTTTTCAGGTCTGTTTGTATAGTTACAATTATATTTTTACGTCGCAGACGCGATGCGAAGAGCGTGCGGAAAAAATGAGAAAAAAAAGAAAAGAAAAAAACAAGATAGTAAATAAATGGTAAAACAAAAATAAATAATATCATATTGTTATACAGGGGGTAAATACGACGACAGCGGCTGATATTGTATAAAACGGAATTATTATTGTTATTCTCTGTGGCACGGGTACCGTCTGGTGGCGAGACGGAAAAATTAATAATTTCTTCATTTTTTTTTTTCGTGTTATTTAATCAGCGGACCGTTTTTATTTTATTTAATATTTTCACAATTTCGCGAGAATGCAGTAGTACGGATTTTATAAAGACCCATACAACAAGTGTGCCGTTTTAATAACGCGCCGCCGAATTTTATGTTGTGGTAGGGTAAAGGGATGGGGTGATAATATTATTATAATCCATATGGGCGTGAATTTTAATTAGGTAGGTATTATATTTCATATACGCGTGAGTCTCATTATCGCGTCAAATTATTCACAAACCTTAACGATGATTTACTATGCGCGTTAGCCGTGTCGAAGATTTTTCCCTTTCCCTCTCCTATATAATATTGGCAAGTCATGAATTTAGAGAAATATCATAAAAATATTTTGTTATACTTTCGTTATTTAATGACTCTGTGGAAACCTTTGGCGCTTTACCCCCTCCCCCCCGCCAAAGCGTTTGTGGTCTTGGGCTTTCGGAAATTTTTAATTATAAATAATGATATTTACGTAGGGCATATCCCCCCGTATTCTACGATAGTGTGCGAGTATACTTTTTTTGGTGTTTTTTCACTCCGGCCGCTTTCGACGCGTCCGTGGATTTCACAAGTTAGCAGTTGCTGTCGGTCTGATTCGTCATTGCGTAATGTTCGAATTTGTCTTGTAAATATTTACATTGTGGCATAGGCGATTTGCCGGACTTGTAAGTTATAGGTAGTCGTTAGTAAACTGAATCCGTACATCGCCAATTATTTAGGAACTGATAAACGATAATACGAATCGGTGAATTGCTTATTAAATCGGCGGTAACACAGTGGTGGATATATCCTAGTTCTGAGGGGCTGGGAGTAATTTTAAAATCCACAGAACCCAGAGGTAATGGGGTTCATCCCTTCCCATTATTCGTTTTGGAAATCTATAATTATTATCTGCACAATAAATATGCACATTTTGTTGGTTTTAATTTCTAAAAAATGTTTGTAACCCTCTTTCATACAATGTTAACAACCATTTGTCCTCGATTTCCATTGTTCTTTTTCGAAAATATTTTGATTGGTCTATTTTTAAATTTTCGACTGAACTCTTACTATAGATGATGTTTTGTAAAAATGTTTATTTTAATCAGAATACTAACTGCGGTAAAATGTAAAAATATTTTACTTTTCGACACATTAAAATAATATTAAATGTTAATAACTGCACAGAGTAGATACTACAAAGATAATACTTTAAGTATTAAATACCATCATAAACTAAGATAAAATGCTTACTAAACGTATTAGTAACAACAATACAAATGCGAACTGTTGATAAATGATAACATTAAAAAAAAAACAAGTGATACACCGATATCCGGGTACAATTATTAATGTACACATGCGAACTGCCTACGCTGATTTATAAGCAACTCTACATCAAGTTACTGTCGGCCGTTGGGCTTAAATGCAATTAGAGCAGCAATCAACTGCAGCTGCAGTCCTGTTGTTAATATTTAGTACTATATCGATAGTTAAATGGTTGTTTATTGCAATCATAGGTAATAAGAGATTTAATTGATGATGATAAACTACGACCACGAATTCTTATCATTTTAACTGACACAAAATAAAGAAAAAAAAAAACAAAAATTGTGTGGTTATATATATTTCTACCTATATACTTGTATAAATTCTTAAGTATCAAGTTGTAGGTTATAATATATAGTGGTGACGAAAATCCCAAGGGGGCGATCCACTAAGCTCCCGCCTCCGCGGATATCCGTCACTGCGGTAACACTGAGTCACTGTTCTATAGCACATTGATTTAATTCATTGTTCGATACACCCGAAAAACAGTCAAATCTTTGACACAACTCACTCACGAACAACACCCATACCAAGTATTATTCAAATATGAATTACATACGAGTAAGTAAATGTTTATATTACGCGCGCTCAAGATATAAAAATAATAGATTTATGATACGACGATAAAAACCGCAGATAAGAAAAACAATTTTGAAGAATGTCCCGTCGATTATTGTTATAAACTGTAGTTTGTCATAAAACATGATTGTTTATAATTTATTAATTTCTCGAAAACTCTAGTTGATTGTCTTAAGAGTGTCACCGTTTTTATGGATTTAAATATTATAGTGTCGTCATAGATGTAATAAAAAAAAAGTTTGCAAACCACTGGACTCTACATTAAATTAATTAACAAACATATCAAACACGAAAAGAATAAAAAAAACCATTACGTAATATTATTATGTTGTTTATTCGGGGAAAAAATTGTTCGGCAATATACCTGAAATAAAAACGTCACGCCTTCGATATTATTATTATTATTTTTTTTTGTTTTTTAAAATTTCGTACGAAAACCATTAAAAAAACGATCGATTTACGATATGTATACCTTTTAAAATTTCGACTACGCCCATTAATTGCAATAATAGGTGAAAATTCCCTCAGATACGATATTTTATTATACAGGACGTGTTTGATACCGACGGACATTATTACGCACCCTCAAAGTCGTCAATGAAATAAAATATAACAATATTATGTGACTGCGCGTTGTTTTTTTCGAAAAATAATAAGTTATCAATACTAGAAATTATCCTAAAACTGTTTTCTTTCCATTCGCGAGGATACGGTATTTTTTACCTTTCAATATTATACCTAAATAAATATATAAGTATGTAGGCATTCTATATTGACGAGGAGAATAATGGCGAAAAACATAACATCTTAAGTTATCATGAAAATATTACGTTCGAATACCTACGCCAAAGTATCTAGTATATTGTAAATCGACGAAAACATTTTTTTAAAAAGAAATTTAAAAAAAATGTACGATATTGTATTGTTATATTATTTATTGGTTGATATTATTGAGATTTTTGTGTGAATTTTTATTTTTTTCTATAAACAACTTTTCTTTCAGAAATTTAGATTCAATAAAAAAATACCAAGATATTTTTTTCGATTGAATTTCTGATTTAGTCGGTGCATCGGGAAAGCAATTTTTGTTCAATTATACCTATGTCTATTTTTAAATAAATAATATTGTAAGATCGAATAACCCGGTTGAATATCGAATATAAATAATGATCGGAATTTGCACGTTTGCTACAATACTGTTTTTGAAAAAAAGAAATAAAAAACGTATAGATTTTCATTTGAATTTTAATAACTGACTCTTAAATCTTCTCCCTTCCTGTGGGACGTTTAAAATGTCAAGCCCAAGTATGATTTCGGATTGTATATACTATTTAAATAAAACATTTTTACTAGAAATTTTTCTCTATTTTGCATAGGTATTATCATATAATATATCTAAACGAGAAAATCGCTATAACACGAAATTCCGTAGTTTACCCTGTTTTATGTATACGTAATACTATACATATAATAATATTATAATATTGGTGTACTTGTAACGATTTTTATGTCTATGTGCATTAAAAAAATAAAAAATAAACGAACTGTACTATTTGTTTGCGTGTGTTATTTCGACGTAATGGAAGGCGGGTACATTAAAAAAATTGTCTCCGTCCGTTTTATGCGCTCTCGTGGGTTCGAAAAAACAATAAACGGAATGCTTTAAACGCGTTCAAAGACATAACGATACTTGCTACAATACAAATACCCGAGTATCGGTATACACTAAATATTTTCGAAATATCGCGTTCAAAGAAATAACTTCGCTTTTTGCATTTTTGAACACCTGACAGCGAGAATTTTCTAAATCCTTCTCGGAATTTTTTTAATTTTCATAAAGCGCCGGTATCCTATGTATATATATTTGGTATTTTAATTACAAAATATGATAAAACGAAATAACACCAGAAATATTTAATTAATATCATATTTTGTTATTCTCTGGAATTTTTTTCTCGGTCTTTTCTTTGATCTAGACATGTTTTGAACGTCAGAAAACCGTGTCGTATAATTTTCAATGACGTAATAATAAGTAGCTTTAAAATTATTATTATTTTCAGTCAAATCGAATTTGTAGACTAATATCAGAAATCCATGGCACACAAAACTCGGTGTTCAAAAAACAATTGTAAAATCTTGCGAGGATTCTTGCACAGACGAAAGTAACGCGGATAGTAGAGGGGTCTATTTCAAAATATAAGTTTAGTGGACGTGATGAAAGGGGAGCATTTTTGGGAGGTATATGATTGTAAGAATCAGAACGAGTAAATAAAAATGATAACGGAACAGAATCCTAGTTGAAAATGACACTTGCCTAGAAATAAGTCCCAAAATGAGACGGAAGATTTAATGAAAAATGATTTGTACGTTGTGCCGTTATTATTGGTAAAGGTCCAACTTGGAAAGATAAAAGCAATGGACGAATAGTCGATGGAGGATCGGGTGTTAGACGGGATGGTTCTTTGAGGAACTTATAAACCGGAGAAGAAATTGTAAAATATGTTAATGGTAAAAGGTTGGTGATTTAATATGTAATTTAATATATGTTCATGAATATAATATTGTTAATATTTATTTACATGCTATAGAAAAAAGTTAAACCTAACAATATTCTGCAGAATGAATTTACGTTTTTTTTTTTCAAATTGATCGAAAATGATTCGTCCAAAATATAGGTACTGGATATTAGAGGAACGTTGTCATGGAAAAGAAAGTTACAATTCGTTTCTTCTATTAGTTAAATTTTTATATTTTATCACATATTATAATATGCTATCAATAATAATTTGCCAGTTCTGCAGTACAAAATCCGAACAGTTAATATTCAATGGTTCGACGGTATTTTCGATCATAATAATAATATTGTTTCTCGCGGGAATAATAAATTGTCAAAGCCCTGTCCGTCCGTATAATATTAGAGTACATTAAATATTATTAGAGTTAAACAAATTAAAAAAATTAATAACATTACAAGTTTAAGAACAAATTAACAAATCGTCTTGACGAAATGCGCGTTTTATAATATATTTTATTATTTATTTAGCCAAAATTACGTATTCGAATACGATTATCTTTTGTTATACGAGTTAAGTATAAGACGAGGTATATAACGAAAATATTCGACTGTTGTGCACTGCATTGTTATAAAATCAAATTTAAATTATTTTTAAAGTTTACGATAGTAATTATAATATAGCAATCGAGTTTTTAATTAACAGCTTGTATATACCGACTGCGCGCAACGGCCGGTTTTCGAATCAAATATAAATAATATAAACCTATTATGCTTTAGATTTCATTAAAACGTTGAATAATAATCGAAAAAGGAAATCATTGTTTCAGTTTTAACGGTAAATTAAAAAACTCGGAACGAAAGAGAACATGAGTGATGGCAATTATATATTATAATGCGTATAGTCGGGCGAAAAGTTTCCGCGGAATAGTCACATTCAATTAAACGTTTAAAATCCCGATTAAAATTCACATTTTATAGGAATTTTATGGTCGAATTTTGACGAAAATTGTAATTTCAAAACATAAATAACTGAATGAATTACTTCGTTTAGAATCGAATTTTGTTGGCTAACAGTATTTCGTTACTTGCATAATATGTAAATTAAATAACTTAATGTATCCTATCTTGCAAATTTCCTAGCAACAACAGTGGCGCAACCATAATTAGTACCAGCTACTCTGATTTAGTAATTAATAATTAAAATGTCACAAAACGAACGTCTAAACAACCTCGACTTGCTAAACTTTATCAAGCGTTAGATTTAATTGTAAACTGTGTATAACTATTATACTTATCTTTGTATTCGTCGTGTTGCCCACCCCGATTTATATGTTTCGTTTATATTGTATACACAGTTATGGTTATATATTGTATTCCCTGACCGTAACCCCTACGAATTGGTCTATGCCCGTGATTATAGTCAAGGGGTAATATACGTAGGTACATAACGGATATACTTCGCACGGCTGGTGGGCCATTATTGTAGGTGAGAAGTTGGGAAGGTAGGATTTAGAGGGGCATTTAATTTATATCTGTACGCAACGATAAACCGTTGCAAACGAAAAACGATTCGGAGCGATGTTTCGTTTGTGTATTAAAAATTTTCCGATTTTTTCCATTTATCATGAATACTTCTAAAAAAAACGATCTCTTTAAAGTACCATTAGGACGAAATTTTCTTTCAGAAAACCTACTAAACTTGAAAATCGGAAGGAGATTCCTGGTAGAAATGTAGTTTACAGATAAAAAAAATGAAAACCGATATACTTTGTTCCGAATCTAAAAATGCGTAGGTATACTTTGAAAAAGACTACCGTTGAGGCGGTTTTCGCAGATTTTTGTCTACGGACCGTGTGCAAGAGCGTTTTATCATCGCCTTAAACCAATTTTAAAAGGTGCGTTTTCGTTTGTTTCCGCGCGAACACATTTTCGCTAAATCGCGCTCGTCAGAAAGACCGCCAGACCCGGCACAGTCATTATAATGGAACATTCCGTGATAAAACACAACATTTTACCGTAATAGTGTTTACAAATAATAATCGCATAGGTTCGTGTCTCGGGGATTAAAAAAAACGGTGACATATTTTTTTTTTTTTATGATGAAAATTATCGCGGCACCGTCGCGCGTCGTTGTCGTCGTAGACAAAACGATAATTTTTATTTTCATCCGAAAATCCAGTTGATATAATATTATTATATTATTTCGGAAATATCCGATAAATACTTTCAATAGCACCCGGTGCCATCTGATAATAATAATGATTATTGTTTCTACCAACTCGCACACGTTTAATATCTCCATAATGGTATTTTATAAGGTTAAATAAATTGACATTACGGTGATTTTTTAATTTCCTTTTCTTTTTTTGTTATAGTTGATATTAATTTGCACGTCATTATCATATCGGTATTCCATATTATAATATTATTCAATGGGGTGTAGGTATATAGAATATTCAGTTATAATATTTTCGTGTTTTTTTTTTTTTAAATGTATTATTTAGGTATTTATTTATTATATTTCAACGGGCAAGCCAAAAGAACAAGTGAATAATAAATACAATAATTAAATTATTTACAAGAAAGAAGGGTCCGCGCTAACGGCGCGCATGAGTTGGAGCATCGAAAATTTAAAAAAGTAATTAGTAGACGACGGGCGGGATGAAGAAAGGCGGGAAAAAGCGGGTATGACGAAGAGGAATCTTAAAAGAAAGTTGTGATAATAAAGAAAGTGAATCAATTTTATCGGAAATGAGATTAGAGAGGAAAAGGAGGTTAAAAAGTGTCTGTGGTGAGATAGGTGAGATAGGTTAAATAGGCGTAATTCCAGAAGAATGCGGGGAGTAATCGTGAGGAGGGTGGGGAATATTGAAACGGTAGGCGACCAAAGCAAGAAACTTACGTTGGATACGCTCAATCATCCTACTGTCGCAAGAGGTGGAAGGGTCCCAAAGTACGGATCCGTATTCCAGGATAGAGCGTACATTTGAAGGAAGGAAGGAGACGGAATTATTGAGAGGAACGTCTCATTATAGATAACTTATTTTTTTTAAATAACTTATAATTGTATTAATGTATAAGAAACGTAGTACACTATTGAAATTATTATAGATAGGATAATTTGAATAAAAACAAAAGATAAAATAAAGAGCTGATACTTCTGATGCGTGCACTATTGAAAGGAGTTGGACTGGTCGAAGGGACGATAAATGAGTAATTTAATTTTTATCTGTACGCAACGATAAACCATTGCTAACGAAATACGATTCTGAGCGAAGTTGAATTAAGCTCGTTTTGAAATGTCATAATATTTTCGATTTTCATCAAACCTCACACATCACGGTAAAATCAATAGGTTACCAACACTCGGAGTCTAACAGATAAGAAAATGGAAATATTGTATTATAATCGTATTATACGTTAGATTTTTAGAATTTTCGAAAGTAAATTCGGTTTTTTAAATTCAAATTATCATTTGTGGATTGTTGAATTTTTAATTTTCAATACGTGTTTTTTTTTTTTTTTTATGGTACATTGGCATTTCTTGTGCTTAAGATGCGTGTACCGCAATCGATTTATGTCTCCGGAGAAAATATAATTATGTCGGAAGGTAATGCATAATATAATTACTTCTGAACCGGTGTTCTTTGTGTAAATTTATAATAATAATGGAAATGAAATTTGAAAAAAATTTGCAAACGTTTATGTACTACACTCGAAAGACGTGATGATGACAGCTGTATAATACCCATACAAATTCGAGTAATTATACTCGGTCGTTGTTTTATTTAATTACTTTTTATGAATCTTTGGTCTTATAAAACGAAAGTTATTGAAAGTATATCACGTTATGTGTTTCTGACAAGTCGCCGTAAAAAAAAAAAAAAAATAATAATTATAATTTGACGATTTATAATTAAAATTTTCCATTATTATATTCAAACGATGACGCGACGGATCGCGGGTGAAAAACGTCGCGGAGTTTTCTTCGGATAAATATAATTCTGAATTATAACTTAACTTCCGCGCCTCCCTGTTCCCTCCTAATAGAAAAGTTTAAACGAAATAAAAAAATAATAATGAAGGTAATATGGTTTAAACTATATCAACAGAAAAAAAAAATAAAAATAAAAAAAGGAGAAAGAACTATCCATCGTTTTTTTTTTTTTTTTTTTTTTGAAAACCATTAATTATTGCGAGATTGTTAAAAAAAATAGTAAGTACACGCCGAATAACGTGACGTTATATTTTTAATAATATTGGTAAAGGTCCCTGGAAAATAAAAAACTCACCAAGACTTACCAATACTCTTCGTCGTGACGATCCGGTCTGGAAGCAGCTATAATAATAAATTCAACTGGAACGTGTGACTAATTCGGATATCCGAAACGCACTTCTGGGAGGGAAGAGGTTGGGGTAAATTTCTTCACCCCTACGAAATTCGTTTAAAAGTATTGATTATTATTATTGAGATAAAAATGCCATGTAACGTTGTATTATTATGAATTCTATGGAACGAAAATAGTGGATAATTTTATTTCACCCGCCTCTTTCTCGAAAATTTGGTTCAAATACGACCTTGGATCGTGTCTTAAAGTTAGTCGATTCGGAAGGGTTTAAGTGTTGTAACCCCTTTCCCCTCCTCCCACTATTTTTTTAGCTTTAATTAAGGGTAAAAAGGTTGTATACCTATAAATCTCTTACCCCCCTCCATATAGACTTTCTAAATCACTCCATTAATAAATAATGGCTACGCCACTGATGATGCTGGTCCGGCATACGCGTTTCTATATTTTTATTATATTCATAAATATAATATAAAGTAATAGGTACTAATTAAAGCCAGTGGCGGCGAGACAAAGAGTACGTTTTACAGAACCTCGAATATTTTTTTTGAACTTTAAGTATTTCGTTTTCCTGTAAAGTGTAAAAAAAAAGAAACGAATTTGCGTCGTTGAATACGCTCGCGATACAATAACGTTACCATGGTCGCCATATTATACCAGTCACAAAACAGCCGGTTACACTGTAGGGGCGGAAAAAAATTTCTGTGGGTGGTGGAAGAGGAGGGGGTGGGATAAACCCCGCCCTATTTTCGCCACTGTCTTATACACACCATAATATTGTACCAATAATCACGTTTCATCTACCAGCATACCAGTGGCACCATTTTGCGATTAGTTTCGGTGCCTAGGTCTTGAATTTTCAGCTCGAATTATTAGTAAGATATAGAAATATATTCAAAAAACGTTGTAGGAGCGAGCGGGAGGATGGTGGTAAATAAAAACCGTAATATTTCATTATTTCAAGAAACAAATTTTACTTAATAGATATTTTGTAATTTAAATTGAAAATTCTGGTGTTAATATTTTAATTAAAGAACTAACGGTTTAAATATTGTCAAACTAATTATATTCAACTCAATTTTCATGATTTTCAGATTTAAAACCTTTTGCTCGAGTGTTACAGAAATAACTCGGCGCTTTGAATAGAAAAGCGAAAAATTTGTCGAAGTCGGCAATTCGGAAACATATTTCGGTTTTACCGTGATGTGAGTATTTTTACTGTGAGTGAATCTTGTATGATTCTGGATTTGGCCAGTGCATCTGTGGGATGATTTTTCTTTAAAATCCTAATGGTTTTCCTACTGGTGATGGTAAAAAAAACGGAAATATTTTTAACATTTAGTTGTAATTCGGGGTTTCGGTACGTGATAAATAGCTGCTGGTAATCGTAGAAACCTGAAATTTCGATTGAATAACCCGCCGAGAGAAATGACAACCACTGGTTTGTGTATACTTATACATGTAATTATACATAATATATTATAATACAGCGGCGAACGCAGAGCAGGAGGTGAGGGTGGAGGTTGGAAGTTCGAATCTCTTCCGAACTATTAATTACCTGTAAGCTTTTTTTTTTATCTTGAACTCAGATTCCCGGCGATACAAAAAACGCGACAGATTTTTTTTTTTTATTAGTTTTTGACAAAAAGCACCCAGTGAATTTTTTTCCCCGTGTTCGCCGCCGTCATTATAACATACGTCATATAATAATAACATGTCCGCGGTGCTCGGGGAAAAGTTCTCGGGTCCGAAAACTTTGTGTACAAAAAAAAAAAAAAAAAAAAAATAAAAAAAAAAAAAAAACAATAAAAACCGGACGATAATATTGCAACGATGATACAATTAAACTTCAGATCCGAGCACCGCGGATTTAATCGCGGACGGAAAACAATAATAATAATAATAATTAAAGAAAAAAAAAAACAATAAAAACCGGACGATAATATTGCAACGATGATACAATTATAATTATGCTTACCGATGACGTATGAGTAACCGTCCATGGTGAGCACGCATCTCTTGGTGCTGCTGGGCAATCGGGGCGCGGGTACCTGTACCATTTGGTCTCTGAAACGGGGTACCGGAATCTGCGGCGGCTGTTCCTCCGGCACGTCATCGACCAAGTGGATGCGGATTTCGGGGTTCGCGTTATTATTTACTTCGGCGGGGGGAACGAGTTCGGCGTCGTCTTCGGCATCGGGGGGAGCGAGTTCGGCGGCGTCTTCGGCATCGGGGGGAACGAGTTCGGCGGCGTCTTCGGCGGCGGGGGGAACGAGTTCGGCGGCGTTTTCGGCAGTGGGGGGATCGAGATCGGCGGGGGGGGGAGCGAGCCCGGAGTCGATTTCCAAAGCGGCCGATTTTTCCGCGTCGCTTTCGCCGGAGTTCGGCGGGTTTCCGGAAGGAAACATCGCGGGGCCGTGCGGTTTTTTACGCGGGCGAAATACGCGAAAAGTAAAGTTTTTCGATTTCGGCGAAAACGCGCGACGTCAAAGGACCGTTGAAAATATTTGTTTTCGTTTTCTGTGGTGTACGCGATACGAATGTTTTATACGATTAAAATAATGTTGTAATATTATAATAATAATAATAATTATTATAATAAGCGCGGGGCGGGAGTACGCGGACCGCGTAACCTACGGGTGTTGGTACGACGACGGCTGTGGTGGTGCGAATAAGACGAGAATATTAGACGCGACAACGACGGGACCGGTCGAGAGTCTCCGGTAGAGTAACGGCTGCGGTGGAGCGTGCGTGACGTTGGTCGAGTGCTGCGAGCGCACTGCTCGACGCGGCGGCGGCGTCGTCGGCGGCGGCGGGTGGCCCGAACAATACGCGCGCGCGCGCGCGCTCTCAGAACGAATTATTATTATTATTATTATTGTAGTCGCGCGCGCAGTCGTGGCGTTAATGATAATTATCGCCTATCGTTTTCGCGCGTACAGGTAGAGGCGGTCGCAGAGGTCCGGCGAGAAATCGGCTCTCGGACACACGATAACCGCGATAACTCCCGCGCGACCGGAATGCGTACCAGGGACGAGCATTCGTGCGACCCGTACTTACGATTTTTATTCGTGGGTGGGGGTTCTTTTTTGATTCCCGGCGTTTTCGGAGACACGAAAAACCGTTTGTCCGAGAGGGGCCGCGGCGGTCACGGCGGCTCGGCGGTCCCGCGCGTGTATCGGCGCCGTGACGAGTCGGGGAAGTACGCGGAAAAAGCGAACGGTTCGGGAACGCGTTTTCGGTTTTACCGCGACGCTGTCGACCGACCGCTTGGTACGGGCTCATCGCGTCGCGCACGATTTTCGTCCGCGCGTCTAGCAGGCAATTTCGCGTTGAAACCCTCGCGGTTTTCCGACCGGCCGCGGCGGTGGCGACGACGTTTCCGTCTTACAGTGGCGATCCGGCACGAGCGACCGGAGAAACAATGCGCGCGAGAGACGAACGAGCACTTGCGATCGAATAATTCAATTTTACGTTTAGGTCCTGAGCGGACCGTATGGTGTTCTAACGGTTTTACTCAGTGGCGTGTCCGAGAATTTTCGACGGGAGGGGGCCGTAGCCATTGAGAATCGCGAATAAATCGTGTCAAATCGTTTTCCATACTCAACTCGACTGTACGGGAATCGGTAATTTAAAAGCCAGATCCCTAAAACGAAAAGCCAATTTTCATAATCAATACAACGAACTTTTCCTCGTAACTCGGCTGAAATGTACGCATTTCGATGTTAGATCGCTATTGTGTTTTTGTACTTTTAAGCCAACGGGGCGGGGCGGACATAACCTCTAACCCCCCTTTCCCCCTGCGAACGCAGGTTTTACCACGGCGCGGTTTTAAACCACGGTTTTACTGCGGCGCGTGCGCCTGGGTCTGTAAACAATAATAATGTTTGCCTACCGGCAATCCGGTTCTGATCGAACATTTTTTTTTTTTTTTAGGGACATTTTTTTCTTAGCGTTGTACGACCGTCTGTAGTGTTGTACGTCGACCTCTGGTTCCGTTTTTCGATTTTCCTCGTCGTTTTCCCGAGGTAAAACCGGCCAGTGTTTCTTATAATTGTCGATTTCCTAATCACCTGCCGCGACAACAAGTCAGATAAACAATACTCAGCTCAGAATCGTATTTCGTTGTAGTGTAACGGTTTATAGAAAATATCGTTGTTTTTTCTCCGTTGTGAAACCGTGGTATACAAGTCGGCATCTTTTCGTTTTTACAACGACGACGACAATATTCGAATTAACCGTCAATATTTCAGTTACCTGTCGAGCGCCGATACTATTATTGTTACCGTTAATAATATAATTGATAATGATTAACAATTCGGCCGTTTTCCGCGGCGTAGATTTTCGCGTTCGGTTCGGCGACGACTGTTGGAATAGATAACCGCCGCCGCCGAGCACTTGTTGATTCGGCGGTGGGACCACGGTAATTGATACGACGGACACGATAACATATCGACTGTCGAAACGAATGAAATGCATACACGTCTGACGTAAAATAATCATTTTTTGTAACTATTATTTTCGTCTTTGGCGCACTGCGATTGGTCCCGCGGCGCTCGCTCGACGTGCACACGATATCACTATCATATAGTACAACGATTGTTACTCGCTTGCACAGGCACCGTGTTATTGTAAAATTATTGTTAAGTACGTCACTATCCGCGTCGCGAATATTATCATCGGAAACGTTACAACGTTCTACAGTCAGGTCGGCGTTAGACGCAGTCGTGGTGTTATTATTGTTATTATTCGTTTTATCTGCCAATAGGCGCCTGACCCGCAATAAACACCGCGGTCTAATCACTGCAATGTCAATAACGCTATCGGGTATCTCGAGATTTGTCGTACGGACGGCGCGTTTTGTTTGGGTTTTTTTTTTTCGTTTTTTCAAGGACGATAGACAATAACATTAAAACACATCATAACAGTATAAACAATCGTTTTTAACGAGGCCGCCAGAGTTGAACGTTAAGGTGTACGCATAGTATGTCTTTCTAGCGGGTCCGCGACGGTCGCGGTGTAACACAAACGCGTCACGCGAAACAATCGAAAATGCCTTATTTATAATCGGTTTTAGAGATAAAATCGTTTGGAGAAAATATTTCAATTATACGATGAACTCGTCGGCGTGTTTTTTCTAACATTATTTACGTATATACTAAATATACCTATACGAGTTCCGGTTATTAAAAAGAAAATAGGCTAATACTGCTGTTAAAACGCGTTATTATTTTACGAGATGAGAAAAATCAAAAGATAACATTTTCATCAAAAATTTTACAACAAATTTTCATAAAGTTTTTGATAAGTGCAATATTTCTGGTGGAAAAGTTGTTTACAAAAAAAAAAAATACTTGATAGTAAAACCAATACATTTTTCGCTTCACTTGGAATCTAAAATTATAATAAATTATGATTAACATTATTAAGAGAATCGTAATGCTCTGATGAGATTGTCTTCGAAATGTTCTCATCTATAATATTTTATCTCTAAACCGATATTAATACCCTTTTGTTTGTTTTACGGAAAAACAGTTTTGCTCTATTTGTCTATTGATCTATAGTCGAAAAATTCAACTGTGGCTGTGCCTCTTCGTTTTTATATTTTGAACGGAGCGATAAATTCATTGATTTTACTATGGGTTGCTGGTTCTCTCAAATTTCATGTCACAGTCGACTTTTCTATGAATTACTTATGGATTACACGATAGTCCACTTTTATGTTTGGGTAGGGGGAGAGTAGCGGATCAGTATTCAAACGCTGCGAGATGTGCTGCTACATAATGATGCTCCACTCTTGCCCACACATTAAAGCGAAATATCTCGTTGATGAATTGACGAAAACCATAAATGTCAACACCAAAATGTATTTAAACTATAAGTATATTTATGGAATTTTAATATAGTTTAATTTGAAAATCAAAAAAAAAAAAAGGCAATGTAACATATTAGAATATTTAGAAGTTTTTGTAAAAGTCATTTTTTTGAAAAAATAAGTATTTTCTGGACAATTTGACTGTGACATAAAGTTCGGAAGATCTGCGTGTATACAAAGCATAAGACCGATTCCTGAGTCGTCTTAGTCAGTGAACATTTTTGGAACAAACTCAAAGAAATTTGAGTCAGTACAAGCAAAGGCGCTAATAATGACGCTAAAAGGCTAATTCACGGGAAGTGAATGAGTGTTCATCCGTAAGATTGTCATTAAAAACTCAACAGGGATCCCCTCAATTATAGAGACGGTCGTCACAGCACCAAAAATAATGACAGACAAATTGGAAACGTCGAACATAACGAAAATATAACGAAACGACCCGCTACAAAGAAAAGAACAAATAAAACCCAAGTAAAACTTAATTTAACACATCCACCTCTCTGTCAGAAGCATTTATTCCGCTTGAATTAGAGGTAAATTAGATAGTTCAAAGCATACCAACGAAAAAAGCGGAGTGAACTCCACAGCCAACGTTAGTCCCTCTAAACCGTCGACTAGAATCATCGACCCGTTATCGTCAATGGCTAATTTTTCAAGAATTATATTTTCAGACGTACAATCAGATATTCGAAAGATGGGCGGGTAATTATGTCGTCTACTCGACAATGTCGGCAAAGATTTTACGTCTCGAACACAATGAATTTGACGTCGATAAACCTTGAGGTGATTTACCAACGTAATTTTGTTTTCTGTCTCTGTCTTACACACGGTATTATTTCTGGAGATATTTTTATTTTGGTTTAAATGCTTAATTCGTTTAGTGTAATATAAATATTTCAGTACCTATAAAAACATGTAACGTACACGGGTAGAATATACGAACGCGGAACGTACAAATCTGGAATCCAGGTTTTGACGGATATCGAAATCTGAACCGGACGCGATGTAAGAATCGGTAGACGTCGCAGCCAAATACTACGTTATCATTGGTCATCACTATTGTTACAACGTAATTGAGTTACAATTCATAAAGTATCATATAACATTCTTACCGTAATCGAAATTTGAATAATTCGTTTAAAAAATATTATTGCAATAATAGAAGCTAATAAGAAAATTTGTATGATAATATTTAAAAGACATATAATATTGTGTGAAATTAAAAAAAAATATTAAAAATTGTGTGATTTTGCATATATATATATAAAATAAAAGATAAAAAATATAATTAAATTTCTGTTGATTATTTAAAAAATAAAAAGAGGCCAAATTTGCATGGGGCATTTTGCTGCGCGATAGAACATACGTATTTAAACTACTAATATAATGCAATATTATAAAATATTCATGTTATAAATGTCTAATTGTCGAATATTATACAGGTAAATTTAGCCAATGTGAAATGTTCTCGGCGATATCGGAAATAAAAACGGAAATGTTTTTTTCATCGCTATGCGGTAAAAATTAGCGGTCGGATAAAATTGTAATGCATACACGTAGGTTGATACGTTTTTACAATTTTACTCCGTATGGAAGTACGTCTTACTGAATTATGTGTATTATACTAGATGTGTAGATAAATATTAAAATGGAAAAAAAAAAACATAAAAAAAATCGACGATGCGATGAATTGCACGTGCGTTGTAGTAGAATTTGTATTGGATTTCCGATGAAAATATTGTGTAATATTTTCCATCGAAGGCTCATTATCATAACGATATTACGGATTTTCGTAATAACGATACATTCGTGGGCGTGCTGACGGTAGTTAATTTGGCTTTTATCGCCACTGTATTTATACATCGTTCACTAGCGATGAATAATTTACCGACTTTGCCTATGTGGACACAGTACCCATTTGAGTGAAATCGGATTTTAACGTTAGAATGTTAATTAAAAAGTTCACGTGGACGACGTGGGGTGGAGGCAAAAATAACGAAGTTCGGGAGTTCGGCGTGTGACGCGTCACGTGACAGGGAGATGAGTTTACGTGGCTCGAGTTCCGTAATCGCAATAGGGACGCGAATTTTTATTTTTAATCTCGCAGTCCCTCTCATTTTATACTTCCGATTCGAGCTAATCGATCGGGCTAGTTGTGTGAAATTCGTGAATTATCGTCGCGTGAACAGCTAGGGCGATATCGTTACTATTGTGAAATAAACTATCGTGCGCAAGGGCGTTATACGCAAGGGGGTGTGCAAGGGTATATGCAAGCAAACGCATCCCGTGAATATTTTTCAACACGCCTGAAATGCGTAGATTTAGTTAATTTCGTATAGTTTATAATCTTAAACGTTCATTTTGTAATTTCCCAAAAACGCTATGTTATCATTTATAATTTCAACGAAATCAGAAGATATTAACACGGTTATAAATAATATATTATTGGTAATATTATATTATTACTGACTAACAAACGAAGATAGTTTCGCAAGTCGATTTTCATTTATACACTATAAAGTATATGCTTATAAAAGGACGTCATTTGGACCGCCCAGGGTGTATACATTTGTAAATTAAAGATACAATATTATAGTAATTTTTGGGCAGCTTTATATGAATCGTCTGAATGATGGCGCCTTACTGGTCTACATAATTTATTTTTAAATTAATATTTTCGTTTGATTTTGAATTGAAAACAAAAACAGATTTAGAACATTACGTAGGTATCGTTCATGATTGTCGAGTTCTTTATAACTGTAATTATTCGTGAATTGTTATACAGGTGTAATAGGACTATTTGACATTATTAAATTGTAGTTACATGTAAGATACAGAATATTTGGTGATTACTGGTTGCATGCGAAACCTTGATAACAATTAATCACTTATATAAGAAATCTATAATCGTAATTATACCAATAAAACATGTTTATAATTTATACGTTAATTATTTTATATTTTAATAAAATTTTAATTCAGACATAATCATAATAATTTTCGGAGATTATTTGGCAAAAATAATACGAATAACATATAGTTCGTGTATTTGTTTTGACGTATTGCGTTGAATCTCGTGCACCGTGTTTTCGTTTCATGAAAACCGCCGTCGTCTAAGATGAATAAGGTTCATTTTGTTAGTCTGGTGCATATTACGAACACAATGTATTGCGGTTCGGCACAGTAGTTACGTTGGTGTGGGATATCTGCGTACGAATATTGTGATAGTAATGATTATTTACCATCGTCTCTAACGGTATACCGGTGTAACATAAACAACAATAATTAATATTTACGCGATAAAATATTTGTTCTTGATTCGTATAATATTTGTGTATTATTATTGCTCGCGAATAATATTATAACGATACGACGAATTGCGTGTGCGAGACAACCACCGCCGTCGGCATAGACTATAGAGGATATTTCTACTTTGATGAAATTTGCGTGGTGGGAACGTTAAGGATTTCGTATATGAATGTATTAAGGTAGTATGGATAGATGAATTGATAAGTAAATAATAATAATATTAAATACACGTTCGATCGTTTCAACCGTCAAAATCAAAGATTAAAATATAACCGACTGAAATTCGCCTAAGTATAGGAATGTATTTTGATATCCGATTATGTATTACACTAAACTGTATAGGAATTAGATACCTTTATACATTGTGTGTTTGTAGCGTTTACTTTGTACATTTCAAACGAACCTGAGCGCCAAAGCAGTGCGCCAGATCAAAAGCAAGCATGCCGGTGTACCTTTACACAAACCGATTCACCCGGGTTTACTCACTCCTACCCCCCTCCCTCCGTATCACTGCTTTTTCTTAAGATTAGCAATTGAAATATGAATATATATTAGTGTTGAGCTGCTTAGGTTACTATAGAAAATCGAGCCTTCCATATTTAGCCGTAGGAAATGTTGCAATTTTGTTACAAATTCGTCGAAGTTTTAAGACACAATGTAAGTAAAGGAAAAATCGGAACATTTTCTAAAAATTAGTGCCATTTTAGGGAGGGAAGAGTAGGTTGGAGTGTCTTTTTAAATTTTTATCAAACTCGCATTTTGAACATGAATTTTATTATTGAACACGTATTTTTATAAAAGTTTGGAATCCAAATATGATGGTTTTAGTTTTGACAGTCTCTAATTAATATAATTAAATAATATAAATATAATGTTTTTATAAAATCGAGGGTCGTACCAACTGATTGACTTGATGATTTCGACACCAGAAAACAGAAGTTCGTGTTGACAATTTCCAAGAAGTCATCAATAATAATCATTAAGCTCCTCGACAGATCAAACGATCTAATAAAAAGAAATTTAAATGTTATGCATAATCCCTGAAATTCCTCGTATAAACCCAAAATAACGCCATCCATGCTGAAGTCAGCAAAAAGAAATGATATCGCCAACAAAAACCTATTCGTGGAAAAAAAGACAAGTCCCAGACCAGCTCTCTAAAAGGCCAGCTGTTCAAAGTTGTGACATCTTGAATGTGGCCAAGTCTGCTCTTTATATAGTCTATAGTTTCATTTCATTCTTACTTTCACGAGAAATACTGTTATTTTATTTGCAACATTGTAACATCCAAAATTTTAAATGAAATATAGAATATCATGACTCACATAAGAGTTAGGTGGGGGATAAGGAGAGAATTCAAAAGAAAAGCAAAAATTTCCGGGCCTTTTTCAATAGTCAAAGTATTGAAATAGTGATATCTATCAAAAGTGGTTTTATAGATTAGTATATCTCTATGGATTATAATTATAATAACAATAATAGTAAAAATACTAACTGGCTTATTTATAGCGTTTACAGGCTGAGTCGTAGGGGCTATGGCGGACATTTTAGCAGGGACGGCAGATGTTTTTTTTTCGATTATCGAAGTATTTTTTCAATTTGTTGATGGTAATAAAAATAACCACATAACCCGTGAGACTCGGATTCGAATACTTCTCCGTGCCATTACCACGTAACTAGCCATATGACGGACCATAAATCAAATTTACCCACTGATAACGCGAACGTATTATCTACGGCCTCAATAGACTCGATGAAGTAAATAATATTGTGACGTCCATTGAGTTGTAAATTATGTTTTGTTTCTTTTGTACCTATGTATGTATTTATAAATAAGTGTTAAGCGCACATGGTACGTGTCGTAGTCAACAATAAAATACAAGTAGATTTTGGTAAAACGATACGGTACGTCAGGTACGTATCTAGGACCTTATCTGAAGAGGAGGGCGATTAATTCTTTTTACGAATAATCTAATAATCCTCCATAATTAACTCATAATATATTATGTGTTTTAAAAAAAAAAAACAAATATTCTGTCTGTAAACAATTTGTTCTAAATATCAATTGAAGGATGGTTTCTAGTATCAAATTTTAGCTAGTTTGAGTATGAGAGGAGTAATTGTTTTCAATATTATTTGTACTTTTTTTTTTTTTTAATAATGAAAAAACTGGAAAAAAAACATTGGAAACCCGTGAACATAATATTTATCAACAAATATTCAAAATTATTTCGCATCGTAAATTTTAAATTACGCACTTTACAATATTTAATCGAAATTCAACTATTACAACCGATGACGATCCTATATATAGGGAATACTTTTTTTACAGCAATTTATTGAAAATCTTCTTGTATGCTCTCAAATAGTTTTCAGTAAAAAAATTGTCTTAAACCGTAATAGTAATAACG